TAATCAAAATCAAAATTATAGAGCTTTAACGTATTTTGGACAAACAACAGAAAAAGTGGCTTCATTTTTAGGAAACGAGATATTAAAATTGCATGTAGAACAAGTAATACGTTGAAAAGTTAGTTAAAAATAATGAAAACAAAACATCCAAATTCGAGAAATCAGCTTCTGTGTTAACGAAACATGTCATGATATATTTCTCAACTAAAGTTTGTGGAGATCAAATCGTACGGTGTAGTTTATGAAATTACTATGGACCTTCATCAAGTAAAGGCCGAATCAATCAGAAAAAGGCATATATGGAACTTGCTGAAATCTCTGGAAATCAATAAACGCTAAAATTTAATATTTTTTTCAACGACAGATTTTGTGGGATAGAATATTTAGAGTGAAGCAACTTTTGTTAGTCTGAAGAAAATTGATTAAAAGGTATTTCGTTTGTCAATAAAGCATTGCTTTCGGCAGAAAAAAACATTAAAAACTGTTGAAGCCAAGGATTGGCTTGATGAACTTCATTCGGATTTTGCACCTGGAAAATCAAATTTTGAGAAGTATTTTGCTGGGTTTAAACGAGGTGAAATGAGCACCGAGGACTATCTTGTAACGAAAAAGGCATCAACAGCGTCTATAACATAGAGTTATTGAAGCGTTTCAAGGACGAAATCGTAAAAAAACGGGCCCATTGTGAGAAAAAAAAGTGCTGTTTCATCAAGACAATGCACTGTGTCACAAATCAATGAATACGATGAAAAAATTCCTAGAATTGCTTTCGAACCCACCGTTTTCTCCATATGTAGCTCCTACCGATATTTTTCTGTTCTAAGACCTCAAGAGAATGCGCGCTGAAAAAAATTTGGCGCCGATGAAGAGATGATCGTCGACACTGAGGTCTGTTTTGAGGCTGAAGATAAATCGTTCTATAAAAATAGTATCGACAAATTGTATGGCCGCTATAATTGTTGTATCGCCTTCAAAGGCAACTATCATCAGGCCAGGTGATTGGAAAATTCATCAACTCTTGGTTTTTGACTTCGAAATTCTGAAATATCAAGTCTTGAGCCCAAGATATAATTGACGAAAAATATCAATGGAGGTATCTTCCAGAGTGGTATTGAAAAAAAAACGTGTTCACGCAAGCACGAAATTATGCTCATATTTGAGTATCACATCACATAATCGATAACGAAATGCTTTCTCCTGTATCTCATCCATCTCTTAAAAGCGGAAAACTGACAGTGTTATCGATTCGCCCTGACGATAATATCACCTACCCATAATTCTGCGAAACACCTCAATAAATAATACCGTTGGATGGAAATCTACCTATTAAATTATAACAATACGCGCAGGCGAACATAATTACTTATGCAGATGGCTCACGTCTGGGATAAAAGCAACTCCAAACCCTTTATTAAACAACTCAAAGCTGCTATACGAAAGTTCCAAGTTTGTTAACTAAAGTTTTGGTTTGTTTCAGCACTCTACTCTCTACTACTATTCGGCTCCTGCATTCTAAATTGTTGTGTGTTATATATCATCATCTAATACAACTTTGATTGGAACTGAAAAGAAAAAGATTGACTCTACTTCTCATGGTGATATTCGAATGATTTTTTATTGAAAAATAATAAAAAAAAGAGAATTTAAAATTTTTATGTTCTTACTTCTTTTATTTGTAACTAGCGTCACTGCAGTTTTGTCCTATAAGGACATTTTCAAACTTATACATCAAACTAACAATGATTCATTACAGTAGCCCTTATATAACATCACTGTAGGTTATAATAGAGGTACTTAGCTTGATTGAGTACCTAAATTTTGTTCACTAGTAACAATGTGGAAATGTTTATTTGAAAACCGGTGAGTAAACTAAATCGATTTATTATTTTAACATGTTGCACCTTCAATGTTTATGTTTGTGAATGTCCAACGATTCCAAATAATTGAGTTTGCAACCCTTCCTTGCATAGTGCAAATTTCTGTATCATTTAGATTCGCGAACTTGTTTGTGGTTGCATGCCAAGGAATGGTTTGAAAACGTTGAATGATTTTTATCTAATCTGAAGGATCTTTCACGATCAGCATACCGTTTTTGGAAATTTCGACTACATTGTCTCACATAAAAACCATTACACTTAAGCTTATGAACTTCAGATTTCTTCAACTTGCCCACTTTATCTTTGGCATTGAAAAAAAATCTGATAACTTGGCATGTGGTCTAAATGCGACTTCCACATTGTTTTTTCTGAAGAAACCCGCAATTATCTCTGTTATTTTACCAAAATATGTTAGAGTTACAAATTTCTTGATTTCTGGTTGTTTGATCTGGGGGTATTTTAATATGTAAGTGAATTTAAGGCTTTATTTTCTGACTAACTTCTGGACTGTATCTGCGTTGAAACCATTATTATGATCTATCTGTGTAATCATATCAATTTCTCTAGTCATATTGTCAGCAGACAAAGGCAGTGAGAATGTTCTGTACAACATTGAATTTTAGGCTGCTAATTTATGACTGTCTGGATGGATCCCGAGTGATTATTTCCATCCAAACAGTCGTGAGTTAGCAGCCTGCAATTCAATATTGCACAGACCATTTTCACTGCCTTTGTCTGCTAACAATCTAACTAGGAAAATTGATACAGTCACACAGATGGGTCATAATAATGGTTTCAACGCAGATACAATACAGAAGTTAGTCAGAAAACAAAGCCGTAAATTCACTTACAGATTAATATACCTGACTAACTTCTGGATTGTATCTGCGTTGAAATCATTATTATGACCTATTTGTGTAATTATATAAATTTTCCTAGCTAGATTGTTAGTAGACAAAGGCAGTGAGAATACTCTGTGCAATATTGAATTGTAGACTGCTGATTTATGACTATCTGGATGGAAAGAATCACTCGGGTTCCATTCAGACAGTCATAAATTAGCAGCCTGAACTCCCACATAAGGTTCCATATTATATGTATAAAACGATTCTGAGTCAACTAATGCCCAGAGTTTTAATCCATACCTCGCTGGTTTTTTCGGCATATATTGGCGGAACGGACTCCTACCACGAAAGAGCTCGAGCATTTCATCAACAGTTACAAAGTCACTTGGAGAATAGTTTGACAAACATCGTTGAACAAAACCATCAAAAAGATTTCGCGCTTGAGCAAACTTATCACTTTGTTTTCTTATTTCTCTATCTTCAATATTGTCAGAGCAGAGCTCGTAGTAAGAATTGCAGTCGATTTGTACCCATAGTCAGACGAAACATTTCCACACCAGTACCATCTTGATTGTATAAATCTCTGAGATTCAAATGTGATGATTTTATCACACCCGCTATATAGAGTAAAGCACTCACGGCCTTCAGTTCGCATTCGTCTGTATCAGCAGCATCACATTCTCTTTGAAAGTTTGGTCTTTCATTCCGAATATACTGGTGTGTGCATTGAACAATCTCTTGGATTACCTCATCTGGAAAAAAACATTTCTAAGCTTCTATTGCAGTCGTTGCTAATTTTGCTGGCCCAATTACCCCTGAAGCCTGATTTACAATTTGTCATAGTGTTTTCCTTCTGTTGAACGATTCTACAGGAAATTTGTTCCACACAGTTCGTTTGTTTTTTTCGACATATGTATGTCTTTCATTTATCGCAATATTACCTCCTTCTTCATCACTTCGCACAATTTCTTCATCGCTTGACTGCTATGATAATGAATCATACTCATTTATTTCAACCTCATCGATTTCACCATCTTCAGATCCATAAACATCCTCATCTTCAAGTTCATTATACAGTACCAGTAGATGTGCTTGTTCTCGTTCATAACTCATTTTCTGAAACAAGAATGCCTTATTGTACATATGTCAGAATATTTCTACCTCTGAATTGTGAGCACGTGTCAAAACACGAATATGTGATGCCTATTGAATAACAAACAGGTTATTAAATTAAATAAAAATCGAACTGGCAAAAGAACAAATACAACAATAATACTCACTTGAACAAAAACTATTCCAAATTTCCTCGCTTTACCAGTACACGCGCACGGTGCTTTCGACCACAATCGCGATCACAACAGTAATAGATGTACACACTGAACGCTTTGGAAGAGGCGAAAAATGACCCTAAAGAGTAACTGTCAATATTATGGAGAGGGAATAGGTGGAGCTTTGTACGCCAAATGTCCTATTTAACGAATTTCAAGTGGTAAATGGAAAACTGCCGTGTTTTTGACCATTATGCGGGTAATGCCGGGTTAAAATAAACTCTTCACAAAGACGTGTAGATCATACAAAGAAGTAACTTTCAGAGACAAACTGAAAGAAAAAGCCCTAACAAAACAACTACTTTCATATAAACATTGAATTACACGAAACAAAAAATACTTTCGGAACAACTACTTTTATATAATCATTGAAGTATATTAAAAAAACCTTTCCCTATTCAGTTTTTACTCCAAATAGTCGTCATGGAATTGAAACATATCATTTACAGTATTGCTACACAACATAGTGTATGAAAAAGGTAAAATTTCACTCACTGAAGGTGAAATAAGGCAAGTTTCTTTTTTCGAAACATGGGATGTTCGCCATTGAGGATGACAGTGTTCCATGTAAGTAAAATTTTACCTCTCTCATATACTGTATTGTGTAACAATAATTCGAATGATATCTAATTGAATTCCATGACAAATTTTTGAAGTATAAACTGTATAGGGAAACGTGTTTTTGGCATAATTCACTGATAATATAAAAGTAGTCGTACCGAAAGTTTTTTTTGTGTAATTAAATGTTTATATGAAAGTAATTGTTTCGTGGGGGCTTTTTCTTCCAGTTCGTTCGTGAAAGTTACTCTTTGTCAAGTGTTGATTTTGAAATTGATTGCTTTCTTCCTTCCTTCTGAATATTTCCACAGTTTTTTGTATAAAGATGGAGAAATAGAGAGCCAAAAATATATTTCATTTTTTTCTTGTTGAGAGAGAAAATAAACTATTGATGGAAATAAATAAGTATTTTATTTCAAAAATGGCATTCGCTCAGGGAATAATAGATACAGAATGATATTACTATTGTCTGACAAGGAAGTAAAACTTCAGTCCTTAAGTTTTTCGTCTTTCTTTAATTTTTTTGTAGACGAGTTCTACGATCCATGAAATGCTGCAGATTAAATATGCCATAGTCAGTACATGAATAACCATCGCATCACTATGTGTGATGGCCTTGACATAACCTGTAAAATATCGATTTTAAAATAATTTCACTATGATTGTCATATCAGTTTCCATCTAACTCACTCATTAAAGGACCAAATGCTAGGCTAACAGTTCCAGAAACCACCATGAATAGTGACAGAGCTGTTGAAAAGTTATCTTTGTATTCCTCAGATATCACCAAAGCCAAAGGAGTTTGGATAAAACATCTCAGAAATCCCAAAATTCCGAGGTTCACAATTTTCCACGTATAATCGTCACGAAAGATGAATACTGAAAATTAAAACGTCATTTTTCTTCACTGACAAATTTTGCATTGAGGAATCCCCTTTTCACGAAATCAATATCGCAGAAAACTATGTATACTTTCAAAGTTATGAATGATGTTAAGGTTCAATACACCAGATGAAGGCCAGTTAATATCATGTTCAACATCTGATTTTCCATTTTGGTCAATAGAATAAACTCTTTGTTTGAATAGCCAACAGGAAATTCAGTCTATCTGTGTGTTGTTACCAATTTTTTTTCATTAATCATACTCATTGTACAAGTTTTATCATTTTTGCATATGTATCAGTTAGTTTTACAAGTTAACAATAGAAAATGAAAAGACATCAAAATGGTGTCCAACAGTCACTACAAAAAAACAATAATAATAATCTATCATTGGAATTCCATCAGCGGGTTAGTTGCGAAAATTCAAATAAGTATTTCTTGAAATGGTTCACAATAGATTTCAGTATTAATTGCAGATTTCTCCTAATTCATTAAATATAACTGAATATTATTAATCATTTGATAAATACTCTTGGTTTACCTGTCTTTTTGTTCTTCATATAGCCCATTCCCAGCCCGTTTTCGATTTTAACATGTTCCATTAGGTTCGTTCCAACCTTGAGTCACCAACAAATTTCCAACAGTTTGTAAATCGTTGTCAACGCGCATGTCTGTTAAATATTGGTTTCTGATTAATTTGAAATTTCTGATTGGAACAGCTGATAGTTCAACTGAAATTTGGCATGGAATTTCAACATAACCTTTAAAAATAAATCTAATCAAGTGTATTTTTGGAGAGTAAAAGAAGGTTGCAGTATTTTATGTCTCTATTCTATTTACTAATCAACGTGGAACTGGGAGTTCAGTAGGTCACCGCAATAATTAATTTGTGTTATTAAATTATATTTTAGGTTCACATGAAGAATTCCTAAAATTTTTCCTGCGCCAGCAAATACATAATTTATTTTATAACAATTTTTGCAGATTATGTTGTTTGCAAGTTGCATGAACATAAGACAGAAACAGTAATACGAAATACACATGCGTCAGATTAATGGTTAGAAAATAATCGTCAAACCATTCTGATAGATTTCGAACAGGTTTGAATCTTGGATGGAACAGAAAAGTGATAGTTTACTAATGGTTGGAAACTCACGTTGGAACGCAATCACATTACTGCGCAGAATTGTGACTGTCAGAAACTGTTTCTGACGCTGGTTGGAACGAACCTATTGATATTTTTAACATTAATATAAACTGTTGCAGTTCTTGAAATTTATTGGGATGTTTTGGGTTCGCAACAATTGTTGCGATTGAAAATCAATACAAAAAGTAACAAAAAATCAATGTTGAGAACTGGTAAAATTCTGGACCATTAGGCGCTGTACAGTGTGATCAAACTCGTGTCGACACTATCGCTAACTTTACCTATTATTATTGAAGATGCGACTCCGGTGACTTCGGTTGAAATGGAGAACTAGAAGTGTTTTTTTTAACTAAACAACGTGGTGCTAACAGAAAAACAAATGAACAGTGTTTTGAATTCATTTTCTGAAATGAGACATACTGTATATTCATACCTTGATAAATCACCAATTCTCTTCTAAACTGATAAGGTTATCCTTGAATAAAAAAAGATGTTATACGTATTTTTCACTTTCGTTAAGTATACCATGTTATTCAAAATCGAAACAGATTAATATAGCGGAATTTTGTAAAATTATTCAAATTATACAAAATTAAATGCAATATTCAAATACATTCTTCCGTGCTCGTATGGTAGATCGTCGATACTATTGTAGCTATTCTCATATACCTGATTCTTCAGAAATCTCCCAGCAATAAAAATCCGTGGGTATAATGTCAGGAAAATGGGGAGACCAACTAACTGGTCCTCTGGTAGCCATGAAACAATTGTTTGAAAAATCAATTACAAAATTACAACATTGTTTGCAGGCACACCGTGGAAAAACGCTCTAAGGCGATCAGCTGAGTCGAGATTACTGAAGGAATCCTTGATTATGGTTATAACGAATTTCAAATGATGCTCACTTGTGGAAGTAACATCTTGAAAAACTGGTACAATGATTTTTGACCCATATGTTTATGTTGAAACGTACCTGTGTAATGAAAAAATACTTCGAATAAGGTTTTCATTATTCCAGTAATGATGATTTTTCCTGTTATATACAGTGCATTCCATTTAAAACGAGCCACCCTCTATTACTTTCAGTACCATGATTTGCAGAAAAAATTAAGAAACATGTCAACCATAGTATACAGGGGGACACATTTTGACATGTTAATATTTGATGTGACTTCCCTTATCGCACCCCCAGAGCATGTCACCAATTTTTTTTGAATGGATCACCCTATATTGTTTTACCATTATCAGATGCTCCATGATGAGCAGATTTCAACAGAGTATAAAACATATGGTCTGAATCTTATGGTTCGGGAGCTGAAAATTATTTGACTTGAAAACGAGCCAGCCTGAATGAATTTTGGAACAATGATTTTCAGTAAAAATAAAAAACATCTCACCAATAGTATACAGGGGGACACATTTTGACATATTCACATTTGATATAACTTTCCCTATCGCACCCTCAGAGCATGTCACCATTTTTTTCAATGGATCAATTGTTTTGCATTTGCAGATGTTCCATGATGAACAGATTTCAACAAAGTAGAATACATTATGGTCTGAAGTTCATAGTTTGGACACTAAAAATTATTTCAGTTGGAAACGAACCACTCTGAATGAACTTCTGTACAATCTGTTACCTAGGTTTCATTGATGATTTTGTGAAGTATACTTCAAAAAAGTCTCATTTTGCCTAGTTTAGTTTAAAATCGATATTCTCTTCATTTTGTATTTGTCTCATATTACAATAATGATTACCTACCAGGTGAAGATACAATTGGTGTTTCTGTTTGTGTGTGGTGTTTCTGTGAATTCTTAAGAAGCAATGGTTTATACGCTTCGAAAATGGATTGAAATAGTAAGTTTGTACTACCAGAATGGAAATAGTGCTAGGGCTGCTGCCCGTATGTTCAATGATAATCATCCAGGAAAAATGTACGACGAAAATACGTTTCGGAATTATACAACAAATTTATGGAAACTGTATCTGTTAAAATTGAAAAGGATAACCATTCAGGAGATGTCAACGATGAAGCTATTTGTACTGCAGTTTTAGGGCACGTTGAACTAATGGAAAATCCGCAGTCTCTCACTAAGTTATCTCGAGAATCAAGAATCAGTCATACTAAGGTTTTCAGAACTCGAAGGAACTTCAGGTCTCAATAAACAATCTGAAAACAAATACCGGGGAGTATACCAAACCGGAGGAGAAACTATCTGAGAACTTTTCCGGGTACACTTTCCCGGGTCAGAAATTACAAATCTAACACCGGAGTCCTGGGCGAATTCAGAACTGGAGACCCCAAAAAGGGCATCCAGGGAGGACTGGCAAATGATAAAGAAAGTGATAGATATGAAGAAAATTAAACGGGCTGTAACCTCATTTCAACCCTATAAGTCGCCGGGACCTGATGGCATATACCCAGTAATGCTTCAAAAGGGACCGGGAGTACTTTCCAAAAAATTGTGTATAATTCTCAGGACAAGGTTAGCACTGGGACACATACCAAAAATTTGAAGACTGATCAGGGCCACCTTCATTCCAAAAACTTGGAAAATTGGACAGGACTCGGCCAAGGCTTTGAGACCAATTAGTCATTTGCGTTGAAAACGCTTGAAAAACTACTTGACAGACATATCAGGGACGTATTACTAGCTATCAGACCATTACATCGAGACCAATACATATACAGGTCAGATATGTCAACAGAAATGGCTTCATGTCGGGTAACAGAAAAAGTAGAATATACTTACAAAAAAAGGAAGTACTTTTAGCTGCTTTCTTGAACATCGAGGGCGCATTTGATAATACGTCGTTAGAATCAATCATACAGGCGTCGAGGAGAAGAGGGATCGACAAGACAAGCTGTAGGTGGATAGACTGCATGCTTAGGGGTTGTGACGTCTCTAATCCTAGTTTTTCAGATTTCCTCAGTGATATTTAAGATTTCTATGGAACACCTGTATAACCCCCCTTCGTTAAAAAAACCTCCTATCCGCAGGCCGGTTTCTATAACAGATAAATCTAGCAGGTCTACATTTTTGCAGTAATATAAATAACTCTTGATGATTTCTTCGGGGGAATGCATGGACCAAAGAAAAAAGGTCATAACATAAGCTCATCCAAATCGAGCATAGTAGCATTCACCAAGAGGACTAAAACGGAGGGTCTCGGAACTCTAAAACTTCGAGGTGAAGTGTCGGGGAGGATAAATATCTGGGAATAATTCTAGATTCCAAACTGACCTGGAATCAATACTTGGACAGGATAAAGAGGAAAGCGGAGGTAGCACTGATGCTCGCCAGATGCACCAATGGAAAAACGTGGGGGCTAAAACCAGACATGATTTATTGGCTATACACGATAGTAGTTGAACCCATAATAACATACGCATCTCTGGTTTGGTGGCCAAAGATGAAGCAGGCGACCGCCATCAACAAACTAGGCACGGTGCAAAGACTTGCATGTTTGGGAATTACGGGAGGGATGAGAACTACACCAACAGCTGCATTAGAGACACTCCTGAATCTAGCTCTTTTACACTTTGTGATAATGGGGGAGGCCAGGATGGGCCAATTCAGACTGGAAAACTCACCGAACTATAAAAGACCGGACCGAACAGAAATTTCGGAACAAGTGGAGCACATATTGGAGGAGCACATATTGAATATGTGCACGGACCACATGACACCAAAGTACACCTTCAACACAAACTTCACGGCCAAAATTATAAGCCGTGAAGAGTGGAAGACCATTAGCCATCCCGAAAACATGTTTGGAAAAAACACCTGGTATACTGATGGATCGAAAACCAAACATGGAACGGGAGCTGGAATATACCGAGCGGATAGAAATCTAAACTACAGCTATCCGCTAGGACTATACACATCCGTCTTTCAAGCGGAAGTGTATGCTATCTTGCAGTGTGCAAGGCTTATTAAATTGAGACCTCAAAGAAATGAGCGGATCAATATTTTTACGGGCAGCAAGAGCGCACTAGGGGCTCTGACAAACCCATAGGTAGGATGGACTATACATTACCAAAAGCATTCCGAACAATTCTAACTTTGTTCTTTTTGAAAACTATGGAGAGGCTATGTGAACGGTAGATAAGAGATCAAGTACTAGTTCATAACCCACTCCATCCAAATCAGCATGCATATACTCCGAGTAGGTCTACTGTTTCGGCCCTTCACCATGTAGTTGGCAGAATCTAAAGATCATTTGACACCCTGGGTATATTCATAGATATCGACTGAGCGTTTGATAAAACAACCTTTCCAACAATTACCCAGCAGCTAAACTCCAGGAATGTACCCCTGGTAGTAGGAGAATGGATACCAAGATGCTCTCTAATAGAGCAATAAGTATCAATGTAGATGACATCACAGTGATCACCTTAACAATAATGGATTCTACACAAATGCATATGCATAGTTATCTTGCAGACCGACAAGTTTGTGAACACACTGTACGATAGAGCGCGGGATGGACCCAAATTGATAGAAACATGGTGTAAGGAACACTCACTGTCGAAGAAGACTGAGATGGTCCTATTCACCAGAAAAAAAGTTTATCGGGCTCAAAACCGCCCGAAATCACCAAAAGCAAACTGAACTTCTCTGAAGAGGTGAAATACTTTGGTACTACCCTCGACAGGAAGCTAACATGGAACTCTCACCTACAGAGCATATCAAAAAGAGTATCTGTGACTATTGAGCAATGTCGGAGAACAATGGGACGCACATGGAGTCTTTCACCCCGTGTGGTCACCCGGATCTACACTGCAATAATAAGACCTATGTTGATGTATAGAGCCATTGCATGGAGACCAAAAGTTCTATAAGCAAAGGCCATCCAGAAAGTATATCAAATACAGTGGTTGATTCGTTTAAACATCACATGGGACCAACACCAACCGCGGCAATGGAATTAACTACTGGTCTGGCCCCTCTGGACCTGTACGTTCAGAAAGTTGCATTAATGCAAGTTACGATTGCGCTCTGCTGGTTTGAACCTTGATGAAGAGTCAATTGAGGGTAAGCCTATGGCAAGAAGCGCTTACAGCGCAACCTCTACTGCAGGCAGCCAGTGATGCAATTGAACCCAGGAAAGGAATTTTTGGCAAAAACATAAGAATCTGCACCGATAGTTGACAAGCCCTAATAACTTTTAACGGACAACGTGTTACCTCAAGACAAGTACTAGATTGCCAACGAGATTTATCCAAAGCCTTGGTATATAATAACATTATTCTGAGGTGAGTTGAAGGACAAAAAGGATTGAGGGTAATCGCATTACCGACTCTTCAGCCGAAGAAGCAGCTGGACTAAAAATTTCAAGACCAAGTGACACCTACGACCTAATGACGTCGAAAATTGCGGAATTAGCCAAACGTGACACCCAAGCTCAATCCCAAAAAAGATGAAAGGGAATCAAAGGTTGCAGTCTTGCCAGGATCACCCTGAGCGACCCTGGGAAGCTGGCGCCGAAAAAACCTACGCTTAACAGTAGAATTTCTGACTGGCCACTGTCAATTAAGGAAACACCTCCATATTATGGGGCTAGTAGACACACCACTATGCAGGATGTGTGAACTGGAAGATGATACTGTCAGACATGTCTCATGAGGGTGTCCGAGGTTATCGTCAATAAGAGAGTGTGTGATCAGCGAGTCTTGTCGTACACCTGCCGATGTGAAGGAGATGTCTCCTAGTGGCCTGTCCATCTTCCTGGAAAGGAGAGGATGGCGATGATCTAGGAGGACAACTACTCTAGAGGATGTACAATGGGTCACATGCGGCCTAACTGCTGTGGGTCTACACTCACCCTCCCTACTCTACATATACAGATCATATAAATAAATTTGAACCTACGTTTCATCCATGATGAAGGTGAAGAAATCGATTGTTTTGATATATATCCATATTAGGAATTGCAAGCAACTTTTTCCAAACGGTGACTTATACAAAAATACAGGATAGCGTAACTTTTCATAAAAATATTCAACAGTCAATATTCAACTTTCAACTCTTAACTTTCAATATTCAATAATCGATACTCGACATTCGGCATTCCACACTCAACATTCAACTCTTACAATTTGAACATTTGAAATGGCAACATCTTGATAATACGAAGTTCATTTTTTTCTCGTTTTACAAATGAATAAGAATCCTTTCTAATTTTTTTACATTGATTGCCATTTTTCTATTCGGTATTACTTTTGAAAATGACACACAGTATCTACATCGAATACTCACCAATACGAAAAATTGCAGTTAAAGTCGATCCTGTCAAAAATACATATCGATTTTTTACAGTACAGAAGTAACTCACAACTGAAAAAGCAATTCTAGAAATGAGATCAGATGTAAAGTAAACCATCATCATGACTGTTATGTCAACTGAATCAAAATTTAAGTTGTTGAGTATCATACGGATGATAGAAACGAATGCCAGGTCAGCGGTGAAGCACAGTGACAATCCGATGGACATGTTGAGATATTTCGGATCCTTCAATAAACCAAAATCAAGAATTTTCCTGGAATACAAAATAAAGTAATTGAACTCAAAATATTCATCAATTGGAAAATATGGAAATATATTCATATCATTAAGTATTGAAACAATTTGAAATTTTGGTGGTACAGGAGATTTTTATTTTGTGAAACCTTAAATATTGAATACTCTCAAATATACTCGTGACCATTGACTATTTTGAAACAAATTAGAAGAAACTGATTTGTAGAATATTTTCGATTGGACTCTAAAATCGATGAGCATTCATCATTAAATTTTTCCAAATAAACCACACCTTTAGTTTTCTTCTACTCTAACTGAGAAATATATTTCAATGAGAAAATATGAAAGAATTTTCGAACTAGTTTATGTAAAAGAATTGGACAAAAACTTTAATTTTTCGTTTCTTGAATTATAGTCAAACTCTTATACACAAAAAATCAAGAGCAAAATTGGAAGATACAGAAGGGGTCAGCAAGAAGGAAAAATAATGATTGGTTGATTATGAAGTGATGATACGAACGAAAACTAGGCAAGGCGATCTGGACTAAATTGAAATAATATTTCAGTGCCTGTTTACTATGTGAATAATATAATCACATATCTAGTTTTTGTTTGATTTATTGCATACACATTTTAATTTATTGTACAGATAAGTTTTTAAACATGTGTGTTCAAAACAACGAAATTGAATCGAATTAATGTCTAAATGTTTGTCTAACACACTAGCAGGTGGTCCGTGAGTACTTCCAGGAATTCCAGTCCACCCTAGCAACGATATTTTTCCTTGGTTACCATGCACTATCACTCAGTGGCGCTCACGTTTAGTCTATTGCGGGTCACACGTAACATTGCCCTTGGAAGGTAGGAGTGGGTCTATTCTACCCTCTACTGCAACTCGAAGAAGTTTAATGAAGATATACATTGATTCAATTCAAATGCGACCAAATAGATCAAGCTTCCCGAAGAAGCCAATTAATTCATTTGGTGAGTGGTCTTTCAGGTCAGCTGCCAAATGCAGAACACGTGATACGATCTGCAGTAGGGTAGGTACATAATAGAGAGAGCCCCTAAAGGGCACCCAGGGAGACTTGGTGGTAGATTTGGGTAAGTTTAAATGGATTGTAAACTCATTTCAACCAGTGAGGTGGTGCAACCAGATGACAAAAAGGACTATTACTTCTATTTCGCAAACTGTGTTTAATCGACAGAGCAAGCTTGGCTCTGGGATACATACCAAATACATGGAGACTGATTAGAGCCAACTTCAATCCAAAACCTGTGAAAATTGGCAAAGATCTTAAGACTAATCAGCTTTATGTATTTCGCATTGAAAACATTACAAAAACTACCTGACAAACATATTAGAGACATGATACTGGCTACCAAGTCACTTCTTTGGAAACAATATGCTTTCAGACCAGATATGTCAACATAAACTACCACAAACTGACACTATGCTTACAAAAAAATACTTCTAGCTACTTTTTTGGATATTGAAGGCACATTATACGTGATAAGACGTACCTCAAATGAATCATCCATGCATCAAGAAGTAAAAAAGATTGACGACACAAGATGCAGATGAATAGAGAAAGATTGATATACACAACCATAGTGGGGGAAACAGTAGTAACACGGGTTGTAAGGGGCAGTCGTCAGATGAGACTTTTGTCACCACTGTTATGGAACTTTGGACGACTTAGTCATCCTAGTCCAAAGCAAATACAATAATATAGTGATAGGACGCATGCAGAAGCTCCTAAATGTTATAACAAGATAGATCAAAAAGAAGGGTTGAGCATAAGCCCAACGATATCGTTCAAAGTATCATTTAGCATGAGAAGGGAGACAAAGTGCTCAGGATCCCTAAAACTTCGACTTGAAAAGTAAATATTTGTAAAGGGGAGGTCAAATACCTGGAAGTGATATTAGATCCCAGGAACCAACCAATCTGAAACCAACATCAAGAAAGAGAGACAATACGAGTAGACGCACCTATGTAAAGACATAAAGATTCAAACCAGACATGATGTATTGCCCCTAAACCATTATGGTTGAACCCATGATAACATATATATCTGGTGGCCAAAAATATTTTTAATTACAGCTATCAACCCACTAAGCATGGTGCAAAGACTCGCATGTTTGGGAATAATGGGAGAGCTACATTGGAGACAGCCCTGAATATTTTTTTTTACATTTTGAAATAATTTTTGGAACAATGTTTGAGCGATTCAGACTGGAAAATTCACCGAGACACTTGGCATCGAACAAGACAGGAATTTCGGAATATGTAGAGAAATGAACATTGAACATGTTCTTGGACCACATGACACAAATGAATGTTTGACACAAACTCCGCTGTTGAAGTGTCGAGCCGCAAGAACTAGAGAATGAACAGTGGCCCTAAGAACATTCTCGTAAAAACAATTCGTATAGAGATGGGTCGAAAACCAAACATACGACGAGAACTGGAATTTATCGAACGAGATAAGTTTCATTTCAGCTCACATCAGTCTTTCAGAGTATGCAATCATGGAATGGACAAAAAACCTTGAATTAAGGCATCCATGAAATGAGTGGATTGATATTTTCACAGACAGCCAGGCTGCACTTGAGGTACTGATGAACCTAAAAGTGACTTCGGAACTGGTCTGAGAATGCCGTGAAGAAATGACTTGCGGGAATAGATTTACTGGGTGCCAGGACACTCAGATATCACAGAGGAGTGTGAATTCAAATTCCAAATATAGGTCCAGTACCGGCAGTGAAGGTACCAAAATCTGTGGAACATAAATATTACTAGGGAAGCATTCTCGGACACAGCAATGGAAAACACTTCATAAAGAGACCATATGAGAAGGAAACTGAAAAATTGTTTCAGCGAAACAGGAATTAGCTCAGAATAATTACAGGGCTACTCACTGGATACTGCCCAGAGGGCACCTGAATGAAAGCTCTACGTACAACGGAAATCTAAGCTGTCGGCAATGCAACAAAGGGACATTCAGTAAAGGAACCTGTTTAAACTCGTACAGAAAAAAAGATTGAAAAACACAATAAGCCCATGCGGCTGCAGTATTTTCGCAGATTCGGAAGAAATGGACAAGTTAAAAGGCTCCCAGGAGAAAATGAAATGTAAGTAAATAATTGTTTGAGTTCTCAAAGTACTACTGTGATTATATATAATTTTATTGAACTTGTTATTCACCTCACGGAGGACATTTTTGCAGATGCTTCTCGCCTTTACAGCAAGATCATGCTGGAATCAATCAACTGATAGTTTTTGAAGTATTTTTTCTCGCCATTACAGGACAAATCTAAGCAAGGCAACAGTGTGTCCGGAAGTCGACTGATTCTTCAATTTCTTATATTTCCCTCTGTCAAAGTCCTCAAACAGTAGAACCCGACAAATGCCTGTCAGGTAATAACTACCTCCTAGCGGAAGGTCTTACATATATGGTTAAGTATCGATGAAGTCATTCGAGTCCCGGACATACTGCTATCTTGATTGAGCTCGACTTGCACTAACAAGTCGTAATACTCCCAAAGTTGTAGATTTTATTCAATATACATCATGGTATTAGACAGGAAAGTAGTTATTTTTCGGTAGCTATTTCACGGATCCTTCATCTGATGAATATTTGATGTTTGTATTCTAGCAAGAAAACAATTTGACGTGATTCCCGTCAATATAGTTACTTTTTACTGCTTGAAAGCAGTATGTCCATTTGTTCCAGTTCATGGGAAAACACTTCAGCATCATTACCATGGTCTTGCCATGGCACAAATAACAAACTGTTCTCTGTACCGACTGGTATTTTTGGATCTAGGTATAATTTGGGTTCTCCACATATCCTCATTAATCAACTGCCTGCAGGTGAGGATATACATGGTCATTATATTAAAGTATTCAAAAAGTACCAAGTATTTTTCCTAAATGTATTATATGTTTGTCATACACCCACTAATTCAAGTATATATGGATATAGGATAAAGAAAATAACGTTTGTCTCATTTCTACTAAGATTGTTATTTGTTATGACTGGTTTCGGTTTATTACACCATTTTCAAGGGTATATGCTGGCACCACTGAACTTAAATGGTATTCATTGCAATGGTGCAGAGTCAATCTATCACTGTTCGACAGACACAGCATTTCCAGAACAGTCTCAATGACATTCTTGCATCAACAATAAACAGGTAATTGACTTCGAGAGGTAGTCTTGCAACAGGAAAATTATCTTTCTGCAGGAGAATTTTCAATAAATTTTCATTAAAAATTCTCGGTTTCAAAAACAAAATCTGAATTTTTTAGCCCTTTTGATATGAGGTTAGAAATATAAAAATTCAATGTATCCAAACTTTGGCATTTTATACTTACACATTTTGTTTTTTATCACTTCCTACAATTTTTGGACTATCTGTCTTAGAGTTCAACAACCGTTCTACTGTAGCATCTGACAGATCTCTAGACGGAATAGCATCGAGTGGAATTCTATCTGAAAAAAATATAGTGAACAAAATATTTATAAAAAAGGTTTATCGGTGTTTTATTCATCTAAAGTGTTTAATAAAAGCAATATTTCAATGAAGACTTTCATCAATTGATGTATTAATGTATTGTGTATCTCACTTCAACCACTATCATCCTTGTATATTTTTTACTTGAAATCGTATGCAAAATTTTGTTTCCGTTATGGAAAGTTTCGAAAAACGTACTTGAATATATAAAACTAATTCAGTTTTCTCTAGAAAATAACAGCTTGCGGGGTCACTTATTAATCTATACTAGGTAATTATTTTTATATTTCTATAATACATGCTATCCCCTATGTTTAGTTGTGAAACTTCCTCGGCTGAACTTCGCCTTTTCATCTACTTCTTCTTTATAAACAATTCATGTCAATGAATAAATCCCATTAATCATTATTATATATCAGAAATACCACATTGTGGATGATCTTTCAGTTCAATAACGTTTGAGATCTGGTGTTAATGTCATTTATTTGAAAGTTTATCATTATTTTTAAAAAAAAACTATGTCGGTTCATGTCATTTTCGATAAGCAATATTATATTATATCGGATTTGGATAAAACTCGAGTTATAGATTTTTATCGAACAGAAAAGTTCGTAGGCTGACATAAAAAATTGTTTTGATAAAATGTGATTTTATTATTCAATATACTTGTCTTCGACGAAGATACAACATTTATATAGTATAATTGCGTCTTTACACGCTCTGGAGTCGGTTTACTACGTACAATCCATTAAGATGATAATCATTTTCATTTTGGTGTGGAATGATGTAGCCATGTTTCACCCATTGTCACATATTTATGCAATAATTGGGTGTTTTTTCAGTGGATTCGCTTCAAGCACTGTTCAGAATCATCAACTCGTTGTTGTTTTTGGTCAATTGTGAGCACGCGCGGCACCCCCTTTTAACAGAGCTTTCGCATACCCAAATATTCGTGCACGATGTGTCCAACACGTTCCTTTGATACCTTCGGAGCCTCAGCTATCTCTATTAACTTCACATTCCGATCATCCAAAATTATTTTTTTGGCTTTTTTATGTTTTTTATCAGTAACAGCTTTTTTTGGGCGTCCACTGCGTACATCGTCCTCGGTTCACGCACTGTACAGGGCTTGACTTGCCGTGGCTTGGCTGTTGAAGCGTTGATATGGGTTTTTGTTAAATATGGGGGTATAAAGTGAATAAAAATTATCAGCAGTTAATGAAATTGTAGAACCAAAATATTTGTGTAAGTAAGTGAGAGAGAATTGAAACATGACTTACTAATTAATCTTAATATTTATTTGGCTATATCATCACATAATATTTATCAAGAAAAATTTCACAACAAGTTCAATTCATGATATATTGGTTATAAATGTAGAAACGCAATGAGTGATCCCAAAATTGCGTTTCCAGAAAAAAGTTTGGAACTTGCCCTGCTGGAAAGTATGAAAATCAATAAGTACAAAAACTCTCAATATCTAATTGATGATCGAATATTCTCACCAGATAATTAGTCTTCGTCACCCCAGAATAATCATTCAGGCGTAACTAATCATCTATGTATCAAACTCGAAACATTTCACAAATTAGCAACACGTGTTCCACTAGAAACTATGTTTTCCAAACTTGTCTACTATACAGGGTGTTTCTTAACTACGGTACGAACCTACAGAAGGTGATTCATTAGATCGTTATAAAAAAAAAGTTCCTATGCACATATGTCCTGAGTTTCTTCGTTTCTGAGATACAGGGGGTTTGAATTTAAAAAAAAACCGTATTCATAAAATATCATTAATATCCTTACACCGATTTGATTGAAATTTATTACAGTTTTAACATTTAGCCCTGAATAGATTGAAATTATTAGGTTCAGTGGTGTCTCAGTGGACACCACGACCCACAATATTGAGAGAAAAAAAAACGCACTGACATTTTTGTAGTTTTTCGTTTCTTCAAATCAAACAACTGAAAATACAACTTTTTCGTCGCTTGTGTTTTCACCACATCAAGCTCCGTTTTCGAGAAAAAAAAATCACTTTCAAAATCAAACACATGGACAACGTACATCGACATCCGTAAATGGAATATTTGAAAAAAAGTTATTATTGTGTGCCATCATATGAATCAACCACCTGCAAAACATTAATCTTGGGTGAAAATCCCGAGGCGCTAAAACTTGGACCAGCTGTATGGGATATGGGTATAGAAGGTTATTTTTAGAACTGTCCATACGGTTGGGTTGACTTCCAGCTGCAGTGCAATCTTTCTGAAACTATTTGAAGGTTCATTTTCTATCGCATCAAGTATAGCTTCTTCTAGTTCAGGTCATTTCAGCGTTAGTGAAATTATTCATGATGGAATCACTGCTAAATGATAACTCTGACTTTCACTGATATGACAACACTATCATTGTCAGCTAGTCTCCAAAGCAAGTGTTCATGATATATGCAAAGTAGCTTAATTTTTTTTCTCGAAAATGAAGCTAGATATGAAGAAAATACTATTAACGCCCTGTATCTCAGAATCGAAGCAACAACATAACGAATCACCTTCTGAAGTTACGTACCGTAGTTAGGAAACACCCTGTTTTGACATCTCTGAAATAACTTGTGTTTTACGTCATAGATTGCGGTTTTGTGAAATGGTTGAGGAAAATCTTACAGGAAGGTGTTGTTGAGTACGTTCGTCACAGAATTTGATCCAGTTTCAACTAATTCCATTACAAACCTGGTCTTTTGTTTATCCCAGTTGGAACTTTTTTCATGTGCCATTTAACAGGTTGAAGTACTCCCATAGCCGCAAAATTCAGCAGTGTCAACCCAGCCAGCACAGTCAACGTATTTCTGAAACGAAATCTTTCAAAATTCATCTAAATTCTATGATATCAATGGAATAAATAACATTGTTTCAACCTAACCAACCAACCCATAATAGTTCCCTTCACCAGGAGGAGAAAATTGAACGAATAACCGTCGCTTCACCTCAATGGTGAGGTCAATCCATTTGGAATGGAGGTGGAATATTTTATCAATGTCCTTGATAAAAAACTCACTTGGAAAAAGTTTTACACAAAGCCAGACTGTCTCTCTGGACATGTAGAAGGTTTTGTGGTAAAACTTAGATTTCAGGTCCCAAACAGATCCATTGGGTTTATGTAATGATTGTCAGACCAATGATAACTTATGGAGGAATTGCCTGGTGACCGAAGCCTTTACAGGAAACGGCTCAGACGAAGCTCTCTGGCTTGTCTGGCCATCAGTAGTGCGATCAGTACCACACTGTCAGCGTCCAAGAAGATCCTTCTAGATCTACCTACTCTCCACACTTTCCAGGTGAAAGAGGCTGGTTGGACTGCATATAGACTTGTGCACATTGCCAATTTAATGCAGAGTATAACAGACTGCTGGTTGACACTGGAAGTCACAGCATTCTGGAAAAGACCTCTGAGATGACTTTTCACAGATGGATCAAAAACACCTTCCAGTTCTGGTACAGGTGTTTTCGGTGGCAAACCCAGGAAAGAGATATCAATCTGCCTAGGAACCTTTGCGACTCTATTTCAAGCGGAAATTTACGCTATTGAATTGTGTGCGGAGAGATTGGAAAAATCCAACCTCATACATAAATCAATAGAAATATTTTCAGACACTCAAGGGGCGTTGAAAGCTCTTGCCTCCTACCAAGCAACGTCTAAATTGATAGCAAATTACCAAAAACGACTCTCCTTGATAGGAAGACTTGACAGTTTGTCTCTGGCCTGGAGGCAATGAGACTTCCTTGCAAAGAAGGGTGCTGCAAGTAGCTCAATTGGACAAGAACATATCGTAGGTATCGCTCTAGGCTTTGCCAAACAAACATTGAACACCTGTATGGCAAGAAGATTTATGGACTTCCATAAACTTCCAGGATTGGTTCACTCCAAAGCGTTTATTCACCATTCAAAGCTTGATACCAAACAGTTGTTGTACTACAGTAGGGATGAACTACGATGTCTAACAGGCCTCTCAGAGGTCAATGTCATTTGGAAAATGATAAAACAGCAGAGCACATACTTCGTGCCTGCCCCGCTGGAGATCGAATCAGGTTTTCAGAGTTTAGCAGAGCCGTATTCTCACCATCTGACCTAAAAGACCGCTCACCATACAAAGTAATCGGCTTCGTTGAGAAGCTGGGTTTATTTAGTCGAGTTTGAATAAGTGTGAGGCACAATAAACCCTTGCATATAGACCTTTTCAACACCGTTTTTTGTTCCTTTTCGTACAGATAACATAATTATAATGGAGTATAAAAATTTTTTCTGATTAGTTTGACTTACTACTTTTTTTTCACTTTTTTTACAATTAATAAACTTCAATTTATATTTTAATTTTCAAAACATGGGTTGACATGGTTATTTACAAAAAACAGTACGAAAAAGATGGCTGATACTGTGCACAAAAAAATTGTGATGGAAAGGCCTATTGCGGTGGAGGGTCAAATAGATCCATTCATTTTTGACCTAACCTAACAATTTCAAAAAAGATTTCGTGTTTCAGAAAAAAAATCTATTTGATTTTGCTTGTTCTTACCTGAATCCAATACTTTCACTTAGAAATGCAATGGACGGGGGACAAACTATACTACCGACGGTGATGAATGTTTGTGCTATCCCCATCATGAGGTTCAGGCGAATTTCAAAATAACTGTTGATAGCTGAGACAACAGCAGGATACATCAAACCAAAACCAAGCCCTGAAAATTGTATTGTGTTCAAGTTTATCCATTGAATTTATTTATTCTTTAACAAAATTCGGCACATATACAGGAACTGTATCCACGAACACATAACATAGCTTATTGACAATTCACAAAATTCGAATTATGAAGAAATGTGGAAAACCTCCAAAGGAATGAAAAAAAATAACTACAGTAAAATATCTACATGAAGTTATGTGAAAGTTTGTTCCAGAAACCTTTTGAAAAAACTTATTCCAGATTGTTTTGTTAGGAGGTATCTGACTGTTAGGAGGTATAGTTTGATATGTTCTGTAGAAGTTTTGTCGAAATATTTTTGATAGAATCCAACGAAAAACTGTTTTGTTTATCTTCCGATATTTTATTTTCATCTCCTAATGAATTTTTCCATTCGCAATAAGTAATATTTTCTCACTTTGACTTTATGTAATGAAAGAAATGTGTGTTTCCTCTTGTGATGTACATAACATATTTGCTTTTTCATTCTAATATGTACATTCGCTGAATGTAGGTACATATTTTAAAACTGAAAGGGGAAAGGAAAAGAAAGAAAAAAACAATGGAAAATTCTAATGGTCAGAACATCTGTTGAGGCTTAGATAATGATTGAAGTGAAAGAATTTGAAGAAAATCCCATATATAAGGCCACTATATGAATAAAAAACAAATCGCGTGAGAAAAAAATGAATACTAGAAGGTAAAGTAAAAAAAATTATTTGAGAAGTATCTTAGTTGTCATTGAAAATTATGAAATGAAAGGAAAAATTGTTTTCTTTGAAAGATGAGATATCATTAGATTCACTGTAGAAAATGAACTTATTTTTTGAATTATTTAGGTAAATTCATGATTTCACGGTCTGCTCATGATTTTACCGGGATTATTGAATGAGAAGATCCATCGAAGATTTACTAGTTTCAGCAGGTTCTATTGAGTTATAGAATCAATATGCTCAAAAAACACTAACAGTCTAGAAATTTTGCATCGCAACACAGTTATTCTAATAAGTTATTATCATGTTCAGTTTCAAAATTTTCAAATATAGTCACTACTCAGGAACATATTTCAATGAAGAATTTCAAATTGTCATATACGCTATATTACAGACCAAAATCGATAATCATCGTTTAATTTGAGTGTTCCGGTATAGTGTTCACTGTCAATTCCACAGATGGCCTTTTCAAAGGAGGTAATCGTCGTACTTGTTGCGATTATAATATCATAATCCAAGAATTTAAAAATATATTTTAGGCATTTCACTTCTTCATTGAAGTTTAAATGTAGGAAAGGTAAAGAAATCATACATTCGAATATTCCCAGCCCAGGATTAGAAAAACAGAAATCATTTTTTTTCTCACTTTATACTTGTAAAAATAGTAACAGAAATGAAGCAGTATTAATGAGAAAATTCACACTTCTGATGAATATTTTTTTTTCAGTTCCCCTTTAGTACTTTTGCGATATTTCTCGACAATTGTGACGAATATTCACGTGGTTTTCGAGTGATTGAAAATGTAAAAAATACATGTTTTGTGCAATGAAAGAACTTATTAACTGAATCAAGTAACTTCAATCTCAGCCATACCGGTTGCTTTTACACTCATCAAGTCAATATATTCTGAATGATAAATTGAAAGAAAATGTTGAATTTGATGTATGACGTGTGTCATTAAAAGTGACATTTTTAATGGTTTTCAAGTGTATTGAGAGATGATGTTTACAAAGTAGCGTGTTGAAAATATTGTTTACCACTTGTGTTAAAAGTATTTTTCACATGATTTTTTTCGACCAAATAAACATTAATACATTAATTAATATTTAATTATCGCAGTGAAGAAGACGATGCTGTAACGCTGGAGCTAGCTATTGGGATTATTCTTCCAGCAATAGCCTTTTTATAAGAAATTGATTGATTGATGTAACCCTCAGCTACTGTTATAGTCTTCCATCATCTGTGCTTGTTGATATCCGTTATATTTGCTCCTGATTTTGCTAGCAAAAAAGCAGAATATCTTCTGAAACAGAGGTTCCGGGAGGTTCAGAAACTCAGCAGTGGTAGCGGGCATTTTTTCAAACGTGTTTATACCAACTGGATTGGTACTGCATTTATAATTTGAGTATTTCAGAAAGAAATGTTCATGATTGATAACAGAATGGCGTATTGCAACGTATCTATTAAAATAGTTATCAATGTTTTTTTCAACAATGCAAAAAGAACGACCTATTTTCGTTTTTGTATTTGGAATTTGAACAATCAATGATTTATTCATTAATCAATGATTCATTAATTCTATGAATAAATGGCACAGCTCTTTACATCGGCAACCTCTATATATTCCGAAAACTTCTATCATCAAATATTTTTCATCTGGCGCCTCATTCATAAACCTCTGGACTTATACAAACGTAAGAGTTTTTGATTATTTGGGCATATAACTTCAATTTTTCCGGTTTAAAAACGCTATTTCCTTCGAATATTTGCTTGTATTCACAACATTTTTAAAGAGCGCACTCCAATTTATCATTGAAAACTTGCTCCACAAAGTTGACAAGTTCCACTTTCTTATTTCCCTTCTAGCTAGGCTAAGAAGATGGTTTCGCTAAAATTTCCTTCAACGTTTTTAAGTCTACACCTGTTGATGAAATTAGAATATGCGATGTTGTACTGCTGAGCCGATTTTTTTTTGGTGACAATTCAATTAAAGGTCTTTATGCAGCGCCTTCAATATCGTCAGGAACACACAATTACTCACTATTCTACTTCATTATGCAAGACATTAAATACCAAGAACTTTGAATGTGACTTTAAATGAAACGTTTGAGCTGTAAACAATACTTTTTGTTGGTAAACAGGTGATTCGACGTCAAATGACAGGGCCACTTCACAGCAAAAGCGATAACATGAAAATAATTGACTGAAAAGAGATGTCAAAATGAGTCTTCATTGAAATAATGAATTTATCTATTTCATTGTGAAAACAGGACAGTTGTACAAAAAACTTTGTATTATATTCGTGTTAAAAGTAAGTTTTACTCTGTTCGTGAAATTGCTCAACACGCTACGCTCGTTTCGCAAACTTTTTCACTCACAAAATCATACCCTACTTTTAACAATCATATCATGAACAGCTTTTACGTTTCCTTGCAAATAGTTTCACAAGCTCTTTAATCTAAACCAACCCAATGAAAGTGTGAAAGTGTATCTAGTTACAACAAAATAGGGCAATGGTAGACAATCAGACGATTCATCTTTTTGGTCGAGGTTTTTTTCCATTCAGATAATTTGGAACCATGAAAATCACTGGAAGTTAAGAATAGAGATCAACGGAATATGAGTATTATCTTCACTTCTGAACACATTATACAAACACATATGTGACATATACTATTGAAAGGCTTTTCCTCCTCTGTTACATACCTTCCAAGATTCCAAATGTGACAATAAGTTGACTCAAATTTTCAACAAATATAGTAGAAAAGGCCCCCAATGAGAAAAATATAGCTCCAGCCAATCCAACTTTTCGATAACTGAATTTTTTCAAAAGGAAGCTTGTAGCTAAACCTGAAAAAAATTGAAGCCTTCATGAACAGTTCCTGTGAGAATTATGTCATGACTAACGCACTATCCTACTGAATAAAATTTTTTACTGAAAAAACTTCACATTCTATAGTAGGCTCTTCACAGTTCATGAAACACAGATGCGGAATAATCCAGAACAATGATTAGTTACCTGAAATATTCAGGTTGAACATAAGTTAACTTCTCAGTTTATAGAGAGACGATTCCTGAAATGACTTTCTTCCATTTACTTTTTCTCCATTTTTAATATTTTTTTCCTTGAGTTATAACCCTTGTAGCATTTGTCTCATCATTTCTGAAATCATTAATTACAGTTACTTTTGATTTCCAGAAAGCTTCATTTCCATGAAAATCTAAGTCATGTTCTTGTTATATGCTCTTGACATACTCTGAAGAAAAATTATACAGGGTATTTTCTGATTGCGTTGAAAAATATAAGGACTTGTTCAGGAGCTGATTTCATGAAGAATGTTCATATAAACATAGGACTGACAAAGCATCGTTCCCAAGATATAGGATTTGAACTTTTCTAAATAATTACTTTTTTGTAATAATATTGTGGTGACTTTCCCTCATTCGATTTTGGTAAAATAAGGCAAATAAACTTTCAGTGTCAAGAGGTTCATTTAGCTTTGATTAGATAGGAGAGATCAGGTATGGTTGTCTCACGGGTTGGTTGTCACAGCGGCCATATTGGATAATTGAACGAACTAATGAGTTCATCGAACGAAATCGAAGGATCTGGAGAGCAATACCTCCATCCTAACTCCTAACGTCACTTCAGTTAACACTCACACTTTGTGACGGAGGTACGTATATTTATTTTTTTCGGACGGCAAAAGTAAATTTTTGTGCATTTGTGACGAGTCCGTAAGTATACTAGAATTCTCCGTAGATAAATATTATTTCATGTATTTTCAATGTGACATGTGTGGTTCATGATACACTATTCGTTTTCATTAATAAATGTTGATTCAGAGTTATTTCAAGGGGTTATGTTCTGAAATGTGTTTTGGGGCTGGTAGTCACATGTGACAACCAAAACCATATATATGTGCTGCATTTTCTGTTGGCTTTTTGAGCTACATACGATTTTGTTTTTTTTTTTCAGAGAAAGTTATAGAAATGTCATGGCATCATCTGAGAAATTCTAATCGACTATCACACATTACGTGCTGCAGAAGAAGTGGAAAAGGCAAAGTATTTTGGGAATGATTACTCTCACACTCTGACAGGCTTTTGAAAAAAACTGACTGTCGAAGAAACAAGCAACACGGTGTTATCAATAACATCAACAAAACTTGGGTATCAAAGATATAGGCAAGTCCCGATTGATTCAGGTCATTCATAGAAAGACGTTCTTATCTATCATATAGACTACCTGAAACTACCAACTTGACCCGAGCCACGAGTTTTAACCCACATAATGTTAGAAGTTTTTTCGAAAGCAGCTCACACTTGTCGTTTGAAGGACAGAACGAACGAACGAACGAAAAAAATAGCATAGTACTGCTACCACACTGGACTCACCCCTTACAACCTTTAGGCAGGTCAGTATAGCGCAAGCGAAACATAAGTGGAACCACCTTTTGGTGTGACACCACTTATGTTTCGCTTGCGTTCACGCAGCTATTTTTATCAAGTACTTTTCTGGTTCTTCACATTTTGTCTTCAATCGAGAACCTACAAGCAATCAAAATAATTGGCCGTTTTCAATTCATGTCTTCAATATAGTCTTGATACGATGTTACTTTGAATTACTGATTACTTCAATTTTCAAATATTCACCAATTTTTTTGTAACCTAACGGAAATACGTCAGGCATTTTTTCTCTAACGTTTCGAATACATCAATAGAAATACATACTTTTCATTGATAAAAAATACGCATTATTTGCGTCATATATTTCAAGCATGGGAAATATTTATATATAATATCTATGTTTTTTCATGAAAAACTAAAATAATTTATCTTCTTTGCATCCTTAAAATGATTTATCCAGTATATACTCAAAATAATGTTATTTTGAATTATTTATATGATTACTGAAATGATCATGGATATATGTTTGATGTATTACCAAATATTTCAATCATTAAAATTATTTATTCATGATATCTCACAAAATCAATTGAGAACACGATCATGTATACATCATTTATAAATTATTTCTATCGTAATCTCAGAACTATTTTGCTGTACCTACAGTCGTATTACAGAAACCATCATGTGGCCCATATTTTGCAGTAAATACTGTTAATCTGTTAGACTATTTGACTCGATTTTGGCATGATTTATGGGTTGACACTGTTAGCGTATATTGTTTTATTTATATTTTTATTTGCTACTATTATGACTTTCACACTCGTGAAAGCGACTGAAGAAGCAAAAATGCCTTTAGCATCTGGAGCGGAGGTTTTTTGGACTCAAAATTATTTTGATACTTTCCCATTACGGAATAGATTTTTCGAGATATCAAATTATCGTTTCGTCACTCGAAAGATTCTGAATGTTACTGCTAGAATTGATAGAGAATACTGAGCTGGAAAATATTGAATAATTTCCAGTTGATAAAATAATTGAAAGAAAACAAAGTTCAAGACATTTATCATCTCGAGGCAATTTCAGATTCTTGACAAATTATATATCATTACCAAATATCATGAGTACAAAATCTTTTCTGAATCATTCTCACCTGTGAATGACTGAACGGTATTGAATGCTCCGTTAGATAAAGTAGTGCCAGTCGTTTCATCCCCTATGGAAGATAGAAATTGTCCATACAGAAGTCCAAATGCAGCCAATGGTACAATTGTTACCAACTGAAATGAAAAGACATTCACAGTAAAATATTTCAAAAAAATAATATAAGTTTTTCAGTGGTTGAATAGCAAATATTTATTTGTTAACAGTTTTGAAAATGTTTCAGTTAACTATTTCAAAAATAGATATCGAATTTACTAGCAACTTTCAGTTTAAATACTTTATATGGAAACGAGTGCTCAGGAAAATATTGTAACGAATCTGAAGTCGGCCCTGACCGATATCTCAGCCAGCAATCATATGACACCGCGAACCGCCGCGAAAAGTGTAGATGATTACCGAAACCACTAGAGGTATCTAAAACGATCGTTACCGATATAAAAGGTCGGGTCCTCACTCAGAAAAGAAGTCTGTATTCAGAAAGCGAATCGAGCGGTAAACAAAGAATTCGAACAGTGAAGATGAATCAAGCGTTAGTTGCTAAGTGTTGNGAGGTATCATCTTTCAACGTGTGATTCCTAACACGGATTGGACAATAGCAAGTGAAAATCGATTATTCAGACTAGGGCTTGAACCACCGACCAACGCGGGAGTAAATTCGAGTGAGTGAACAGAGTACCCACGTCGAACCGCTTGGCTACCGACCGATATATTGTCGCTTTTGTACATTCTTCGATAGAATGAAATTTTGAAATTGATAGATGTTGTTGAAGGAAAGAAAAATGAATAATAAACAGCTCCAAAACCAGAGAATCTGCTAAAATTGTTGATCAGTGTATGTTCATTTCATGAGCAATTCTCAGAAATGCCAGATGATTCTTGATAATTGATACATTTCGATAAATAGAGAAGAGATGTTTATCTGTTGTATGCATTGAACACTTATTTATAAAGAGAACATTATTAGAATGCAAGAAAATGAGGTCAGCGGTCAATGATAAGCATGGTGATTAATATTTATCAATTAGTTTCCTTTTCGAAAATGATTCTGAATGGAACTTGATACACTACAAGAAATAATATGGAATATTTTCTACTTTGTTGATTCAAATCCAAACCTACAATTGTGTCTACACAATCGTAGATTTGGTATTGTGTATACACAATTGTAGGTTTGGAATGGATTCAGTATATGATCCAAAGTATCATGTTTCTTATCATAGATTTTTTTCAGTTTTGTTTTACTAATTTCAGTTTTTGGTGTGGGTGACACAACAAGAATAATTATTCTCATCGACTTCTCCTGCTATATTCGCCTTCTCCAAGCTGAAAGGGAAAAACTGCAAGTAACATTTGATTTTCCACAATTCTGAAAAGGTGGCAGATTTTAGCCACTTTTTTTGGATAGGCAAAAGTATTGAATACTTTGAATTCACCCAGCTAAACGGGGTATAAAAAAGGTTTACCCTTTCAAAACATGTATAAAGTTCTTCATCACAATTCTTTTTTCAGATTGATGTAGGTGAAAAACCCCAGAAGATTTAATGATTTTCTTCACAAAAAGTGAATAATTTTCAAGAATGATTATTTTTCGGAAGGCATTTTTGTGAAGAAGTCAATGTTTCTCGAAAATATTTGAGTGTTTCAATCATTCAGAATCAGGAAAATCAATAAATTCAAATCAACAGAGAATCTACTTAACTGTAATCAAACGCAAACTGGAAAGTTTACCCCTAAAAGTTACTGTGTACAAACCTCTAATCTAATATATTATACTTTGTTGAAAACAATCTAAAGTATACAGTTTTTTCCAAATGATATGATGAGACTCACAATACCATAATTTATATTATGGTCGACAAGGGTAAAATATACCATTTTCGAATGTGGTATGTCTCAAGTTTAGCAAGATATTCAAATTTGTACAAGATCGTTCTCAGCGAATTGCTGATTTGATGAATTTCATGGTAAATGGAATTCCATGACAACGCCGAAGTATTTCATTCTATTATTTAATTTAATTTTTGTGGGACTGTTTTTAACGCAATTATTCAATGAAGTGGAATTAGGTAGCTCTTTTGCGTGACAAGAAGGACAAGAAGTTTTTTCACAGTTTATAGTCAATAATGGATAAACCACCCCATTATTTTACAAAAGTCTACTTCCACTTTTTTTTTCAAATATAAATATATATTTGAATCAAGGTTTATATAATCTGCGAATGCGTAGATTGATCCAGTGGTTTTCATAGTGGAAAGGATATTTTATTCTAATCCAATACTGGAACGATTTTTTTGAAATGCGATCGTTTTTAATAATAACAATAATCGCTTTCCGAATCGGAAGGACGGAATTCGCTGATGATACCTTGATATACTTCAATAGTAGTAATTTCGCTGATATTATGAACACATTGAATGATGAAATAGATCAACTGTTTTATAAATTTAAAATCAATAGACTAAAAGTTGATAAAACTAAAAGTAAATAAATGTATACAAATATATGTATCAAAAATTTCTAAGTATGGAATTGGATATCAAAATAAATGATCAGCGGATTGAACGGGTTCAGGAAATGATATATTTGGGATTCGTAATTGATACCCAACTGAAATTTGATAAACATATNAGAATGTTGGAAAATAAAGAACGAAGTTCATTTTCTCCAATGAAGCAATCACTTACTTCATCAGGAATATGTTCAGTCAGTAATTAAAATTTCATAATGAAGAATTCGATTAAAATTTTGAGATTTGGTGGTAGACTTTTCAGCGCAAAACTTCTTTTATGTTCGGCGATTTCCGTTTGGAAATTTTTCGAAGTCCTTTCTATACAAACTTCTGGGCATGCTCCACATGTTAATTTGTAGACCCTTGATTTGTTACTCTATCTCTTTTTGACTTGTTATTCATTTGTCTATCCAAGGAGTTACCAGTTTTATATAGTATTTTAATTCTCTTTTGTTGGTAATCTTTTCATTTTATTCGATGATTCTCCTGTATATGAGTGTTCTGTAGGTAGTAGTGTTATTTTTAATGTGGAGGTATACTTGATTAGTGGCCTGTTTGAAAAGTGTTTCACTAAGAATATGTTGACTCTTGGAGTTGTTCACTGCAATTTGTTTCATCAACTCAAATTCTTCATTGAAATTATCTGTAGATATCGGAATGCTGGTGAGTTTGTGGAACATTCTATGATAATCTGTTAATTTATATTGATGAGGGTTAATAAAATGATTACTGATAGTTGTTTCTGTATGGGTTGGTTAGTGGTAAATTGCAAAGCCTTGCTTGCTCTCAATTTTTGTAATTGTGGGGTTTCGAAAGTTCAGAAACTTATTGGTTTCTAGTTTTATTGTATATTTTATGATTTCATATATAGAATTTATGTATTGAAAAAACTACTGTAATTGCGATGTCTTCCTGTGAATCAGGATACAACATTGTCAACATTTCTTCATCAATGAATACATATTTGAAAAATTGGATGTTGCTGAAGAGTTTTTTTGAAGTTATCCCTGCAAATTTCAGCGGAGGCTTAGAGGAAAACCCATTATGAAGCCTTCTTTGTTGTGTCATCAAATTCAAAATAATTTTGGTTTAGACATACCGACAATAGTGAAAGGATATCAGAAATAATTAATATATGTATTAATTCAATGAAAGAACTTCTAGATATTTCAAAACGGGAATCGCCGAAAGTAAAAGAAGTTTTGAGCTGTACTTATTCCGCCTATGTTTGCCACCTTTCAGAGAATAACCACGATTTCATTATAGACCACGATCTATTACATACAGAAAATAAACGACAAAAATCAAACCCGCTGGAATTTCCAGAAATCAATAAACGCAAATATTCAAATTTTCTTTTAAACGGCTACCATTATTGAACTTGTTTTCATAAAATGTCGTTAATTGATGGATTAAGTGTTTTTCTAGGAATAATATTGTATTAATTTTTGCTTTCTGAATCCACCTGTTTTGCCATTTATCTAATTGAGTTTTGACATGAAATGCCAATGTTTCACTTGTTTCCCAGAAGTAATATTGTGTTGTACCTAATAATTTGTTCAAAATCTACCTGTATCATTCATTTAAAAAGTTCTGTCATTACCTACTGTTATACAAAAGATATTATCAAATATTAGAGGCTTCGCTCATTAGAAAATTCGATTTCACATATAAATTACACGAACTTTTTTTTTTTTGTTTATTCTCTATATCCAGTGAGGAGTCAACTTCTTTTAATATAGTGACTTGTTTTATTGTATTGACATGTTTCAATTGTTCAAATATAACATTCTTTCCGACTCAGCCATCCTCACTAACAGTAAGTTTGAGAACTTTCATAATAATTTTTATATTGTACTAGCATCATACAAATTTTGTAGCTTTTCCTTGAAGATAATAATAAATTTTATCGAAATATTGGAAGAAGTTTCACTTCAGTCGTGTCTAGAGCACACTCGCTTTTTTTATACTGTTTTCAAGATTTGGTACTGAAGAACTGATATTCAAGTTTCTTACGTCGAAACATCGGATATCTACCAGTGAGGATGACAGTGTTACATGTAAGTGAAATTTTACCTCTTCCATTTAGTATATTGTGTAGGAATCCTGTGAATGATATCTGATTCAATTCCATAACGTATTTTTAGAATGCAAACTGAGTAGAAGAATGTGTTTGTTCTATAATTCAGTAAATGAAAGTATCCGTTCCTAAAGTATTTTTCTTTCATGTAAGTCAATGTCCATAGGAAAGTTGCTGATTCGAGAGGGCTTTATCTTTCAGTTTGTTTCTGAAAGTTACCCCTTTTGCATGATATACACATCTCTGTATAAAGTTATTTTTTTAAATTCATTGCTTGCTTCCTTTTTTTGGCAAATTCTCACATTATTTGTATCAAGATGAAGAAGTAGATAGCCAAAAACTTTGTTTCCAAAAAATCAAACTCTCCTAAAAATATAACCCTTTCAATTCAAATGCATTTTCATTCTTATGAGAATTTCCATTGTTATATTCAATCTGACTTGATACCTCTCACTTCAAATTCCTGGTTCCAAAATGTTTAACAATATTGTTCTTTCAGCTAATAGTGGATTCATGCTCAATTCATAGACTCACTGATTATAAGTATAAAAACAAAGATGAGATAAATTTCCATGAATAGTTAAACCGGTGTTTTGATTTTTTTTGGCATTAGTGCTATTTTCAAAATTGGGAAAAAATTAGAATTATCTGTGGCGTAGGCTACAAATAGCATTTACAGAATTCTTTTTCGGAAAGTTTTTTCGATATTTTGAAAAATAACACTACTTTTGAAATTTAATGAAAAACAATTGACTTTGACAAATAATGCCAAACATGAGGGAGGGAGATGAGAGTTTCCATATTTAGGAATAATTGAAAATCTTACGCAGTTTGGATGACCTCATAAAAAAAGTACCAGTAATGAAATCCACATTCAAAAATTATATTTTAATCACGATTCGATACACAGACAACATGATTCTGAACTGTATGACATTTAATTTTCTGACATTTATGAGTAAATGGGCTATAATAATATCTACACCTGTTTTGGTTTTGTTGTTTATGCTGTTTATCGCAGTAAGGTCATCCTGGTCTCATAACTTATTTCATTACTTGTTAGTTTGTATTGTTATCAACCGCTGTATCCATCGAAGAAACTGTTTATAAGCATGTTACTCATTCCTCATTTGTTTCGACATATTGATAATCATTCCTAATGATGCGTTCTTTTCAGTTTTGTTGGAATATTATTGATGTGGCATACGTGTAGTATCTATGTGAATTGCCATATTATTATGATGAAATATCTTCTTTCACAAGAATAATATTAACAACATCAATTGAATTTTTTTGCAAGCACAATAAAAGTCACCTTTTTCAATAAATATGCAAATTCTTCAGTTAAAATCAAATACTCACATGAAATATAATTACTATCAAGACATTCACATAGCAACTGATAATGATTTACTGACAGTCCTAGTGTTACTCTCAACTACTGCTACCGGAAAATCTATATTTCATTGGATTTTCTCTCTCAGCCTGTCAGCTTGTTGAAAGCTATTTGAAATAGCAAACTCAATCAGTTATCAATGAAAATAAAATATCTACGTCATTACATCTGTATCTGTAGAGTAGGGAGGGTGAGCATAGACTCACAGCACTTGGGCCACATCTGACCCATTTTACACCCTTCCGAAAAGTTATCCTCCTAGGTCATCGTCCATCCTGTCCTTTCCAGGAAGGTGAACGGGTCACTAGGAAACATCTCATTTATATTGGCAGGTGTAGGCCAAGACTCGCCGAACACACCCTCTCTTTGGCAACCTTGAGGTGTCTCACGGTGGCCTCCGCGAAGGTTTCGGAAGGTGCAGCGATATTACTGTCGTTGCGCGACTCCTTCAACCTTCTTGGGGTTCCCTCCGTAGAGGTGCATGAGTGAAGGAGCTCCTCTGCAGGGGCAGCCGGTTTCTTGCCTTTATTCAAGGCGGAGCTCTAGCGCCCACCGCAAGAAGTACCCTTGCTGTTGGAGGTGATCCGCTATGTCCAGCCTCACTCCAAGCGGTATATTGGGGTGGACATTTCTGTTCATCCCCATCCACCGCCTTAGATTGAGGTGAGCACTTCTGTCCAGCCTCGGAATTGGTTTTTGTTGTTTCTGTTTTTGTGTTGTTTCATTCATGTGTGTTCCCACGAGTAGCAATTGAAGAGTTGGTCACCTCTGGCAGAGCCCCGCATTACCAGAGGTAGGCTGATTACAATGAAGTTTCGCCCAGTTCCCCAAGGGGATCGTTCGTGACCGCATATCACCCTGCGGTCATTCAGCTGTCGGTACGATTCTTAACACCTTAGCTTGGGTCCACGGTGGCATGTTTTGCAAAGCCTTTTGAGGGGTTTCAGTTCCCCTCACCCTACTTATTTCTGCCACTGACCAGGAGTCCGGCGACCCCATCCGTAATACCACATTGGCTTTCCGGACAGGGCCTCCAGTATCCTGGCCGTTCCCCTATCCGCCACCTGGGGATGCGCCCGATAGGTAGCCCAACCCACGGGTGCGTCACTACATATATCATTGAGGATCCCCCAAGGGTCTATTTTGGGACCAATTACTTTACATAATCCACATTTCACAATTTCCATTGATAATACACGACGCTTTTGCTCGCAGCTATGCCAACGATACGCAGATGCATCCTTTGTTTGAAGAGAATAATAATAATAATAATAAAGTTTATTCATCCTGCCAATTTACATGAATTATGTAAGATTTATGTATGAATAAACAAGAAATCATAGAAGCTCTAAACGTGCTTGTTAGTGATAAGATGATAAAAGAAAATATATATATAATAAAAGATAAAAGACAAAGACAATATCAATAAAATTACAATGAAGAAATATAAACTTATACCTATTACCTATAATTCAATGTTGTAATACATTAGGTTATATACTAGCGAGTAGTGAATGAGAGGAGAGATGAAAGAGTAAAAAAGTATTATTCATTCGAGTCGACCAACAATGACTTCACGGAATTTTTTCCAGGGTTCCTTATGTATGAAAGATTTCAGTTCTTTTTTGAAGCGATGTGGATCCATAATCCATTTGATTTCATGTGGAAGAGTGTTGTATAATTTTGGAACAAGGTATTTATATGAGCGTTGGGATATTAGTTTTAGCATTTGTGGTGTGATATGTTGAGTTCGTTGACGTGTATCATATTCATGTGTGGGTAATTCAAATTTTTGTTTTTGGTGGTAATACATATTACCTATATACAAAAAACAAATACTATAATTCACGATAATACAATAATTTACTGATGAACATATTATCATATAAATAAATTTCGAATTTCAGATACAAAGTAATATGAAGAAACATTGGATACATATTCATAATTCGAACAATTGTAGAATAGCGCTCCTTCGATTTGACAATATCTCTTGGTAGGTAACTGAAAAATCCTGGTGCTAAGAATGCTTGGCATTTTTGACCAATTTTTAACACCTCGACACGTGTCGAGGTGTTAAAAATAACGATTTGATGTTAGGAAAAAACTCCAGTAATATTCATTTCTACACCAAAGGTTCCAAACAGTGCATCATAAGTAGTTTTTTGTGTTTGAACAAACAGATGACTGACTTAGAAAAATATAATTGTCTCAAATCATGCATTTCAATTTCTTTCAATAGATCAGACTAACAGGTTTTTTATGGAGCAATTTTGAAGAAATGTGTTTGCACAATTTGCAATTTTTAAAGATGTATATACGATGCAGTACCCTAATATGATTGATACTATGCTAGAGACTCTGCTTATGTTTTTATAGAAATAGAGACAAATCATTACCTTACATAATTGGAATCACTGAATCAATTACCCGTACTTAATGTTATTTGCTACCTGTCTCATATCTAATCTATACCTATTTGCTACCTATAACTTCATAAGAATGCAAAGAGACTGATGTTAACAGTACGCCAAGCCATAACTCTCTCTCTACCATTAGGCAGTATTTGAAAATTAATGCTCTGAATCCGTAATCATAAATATCAATTACCAACCTCACTTGTTTCTGTATCCAAATGAACTGAAACAGTAAAAAAAAATTTCACTTCATTGAACGCTTTCTCACACCCATTCTTCAATTTTCGTTCTGTTTTTTTTTTCGTTAATACATTGTAAAGAGATCATGTAAAAGTTTGTAATGAAGTTACATTCAATAGAATTGGTGCAATAATAAAAGCGGATGTCAACTAGAAGCTACGATGCATTTCATCATTTCGGACTTCCATTGTGTAATATAATATAAATTGATTTGAAATTCCTGAGAAAATATTAAAAAGATCAACCGAAAATAACAATTTCATATAAACTGACGGAGAAGGTTGAACATGTATAAGATTATTTTGGGTTTGACAAATGTCATACCTTCACATAAATGTCATTTTTCAATGGGTATAATGATTTCATAATCATAATCATAATCAACTACTTCATAATAATGAAGACACGCCCGAGGAAGCCATTGTATGGCGAAACACGTGTTGCATTTTTGTGAAATTATCTAGTGAAAATCACACAATAAAGTGTTTTTAGAATACGTTCGATTTCATAATCTTTAACTTATTATTATTAAGTTATTGATTGATACAATTTTCATTTGATGTAGTTCCAGTAAGTTACTGTATATATTGCTGAGATCATCAATGTCAGTTTTTTATTCATACAAACAGAAGACTTATTAATTTCAACCATTTCAAGAAAAAGGCGTTTAGAAATATTTTTTTCTGTATGTAACATATAAGACCGAGGATTGATTACAAAAATAGAAATGAAATAATTTCAGATATATAAAAAATAATCACATAAAGGAACGCGTCGGGTCTGCAAGACCGAAATCTGCTCTAAAATCGTTGTTCTCTAATACATTGCTTTGAAACTACTGTGGTACATGCATCGTGGGCTAGCTCGAAGGTACTGAGGCTCGTAGCACCGTACGCGCTTTTATGTGAAAATGCCACAAGCAATTATGATTGCTTGGGCCTGGCAGACCCGATGCGTCCACTGCGTGGCTAGGCGGGTTGGCTGTCCTCGTTCATCTTCCAGTGCCTGAACCAATGTGCATGTTATTTTTGGTGAGTGCATTGGCTTGGGATGTGGGGGTTGAGCAAACCAGCTATCTGTCTGCTTTCTTTATTTTCAATTTTGAACTATATCTACATTCTAAGCTTTTTTTTTTCATATTATTTTCAATTTGTATGTTAGTAATATGTTTTATATAATATTGTGTATTAGGATTACCTATTTCAATAAATATATTCTTCTTCTTCTTCTTCCACGTAGCCCCGCTGTATACGGGAATGACAGAATCACTTGTGGTTCTGTTATTCCTCAACTGAGTAACATCCCAAAGATGGCTTAATCCTCAGGTGTGTGTATCAGTGCTGAGAGGATGAATGACACTGAAACTATCAGCTGTCTCTACGGAACCTTCGAGATACCGGGCGCCCTCTCGTCGTAGCATTACCTTGTCACGGTGATGCGGGGCTCCGCCGTGACTGACCTTCTTTCCCTAGCCACTCGTGGGACTTTTATGGACAGAGTAAACTTAAAAATTATTTCTGACGCGGAGTCTACAGAGGAGATAGATGTCAAGCTTACGACTCCAACTGACCTCCCTGTAAAAAAAGTTATGGTGTTGCAGCCAGAAAACAACTGAGCCGTCTCCTCAAGAGCAGGGTACCTTATGAAACCGCCTTGCACCAAATTCTTGAGCGGCGTACGCAGATCTGTATCAGGCGGAGGAACAAACCCCTAATGAGCAGGTTAGCAAACGTTTGCTCTCAAGTGATTTATCAAAACCAGAGGTGAAGAAGCCCTGCATGGTTGAATCTAAGGCATCATCAGGTGTAGCTGACGTGCAAAAACCCTCATATGGGAAGCTTGTCGCGGGTATCAAGGTGGGAATCTTGCACCTTGACTATCCGATTACCTCATGAACGAAGCAGCAGCATATTCTTTGTGCCTGCCCCGCTGGGGATCGAATCAGGTTTCTAGAGTTCGGCAGAACCGTACTCTTACCATCTGATCTGAAAGACCACTCACCATACAATCTAATCTGCTTTGTGAAGAAGCTGGGTTTATTTGGTCGAGTGTGAATAGGTGTGAGCCACAATGAATTTTTGCGGGTTGCGGTGGAGGGTCGAATAGATCCACTCACTTTGGACCTAAGCTAATAGCTAATTTTACCCTGTTCCAACGTTCATTTCCCAACAACCAATATAAAAAAATATGTATCTTTCTAAGCATTCTATCCCTTAAGAACATAACTACCTAAAATTTAACACCTAGATATGTATTCATTAATAAACCTGCAAGATGGTTCAACATAATATCCTACAGTACTGAATTCATATCTCTAAACATCTAACCCATTTTATCTATATGTCATATATCATATTTCGAATCGTACTTTGAACGTGAGTACTTATAATTATACATTTGTTTACTCAATATATTTTCACTCATGACTAATTCAATCACAGTTATGTTTG